ACTTATTTGATTTATATTTAATAGCAACTAAAAAGTTATACTGCATCTTATACTTATTAGTAAAATTTTCTTTAGATTTAAAAGGATTTCTTTAGCTAATTATATTATTATTTTAAATAAGTTAGTTACTTAACTTAAAGAATATAAAGAAGAATTAAACAACTTTAGCTTAAGTTTTTTTAAAACTACTATTAAAGAATTCTAAAATATTAAAGAATATATATTTAAAGTTTAAAGTTTTATTTATATATAAATTTGTGAATTAATTAAAAAAAAGGGTTTTGTTTATAAATTTATATATAAATTTTTAAGTAAATCAACTTATTTAATTTATATTTAACAGCAATCAAGAAAACATATATATTTATTGTTTTGTTATAGAGAAATCTCTCTAAATACATTCTCTATAAATGCACTCTATGTAAAATCTCTTTAAATGCACAGTATAATCTGGTTCCAGCTTATAATAAAACTATCTTTATAAATGCGCACCCTCACTAAATACATATTTTTAAAATTTTTTACTATGGTCCCAAGCTGTATAAAAAAAAAAAAATTATTCGTTTCTCACCAAAATTTGAGTAAGGCAACCTACTAGATTGTATCAACAGAATAACTCTGATGATGATACATCATCATCAATAACTTCGTTATTTGACGATGATTACATCATCAATAACTTCGTTATTTTGATGATGACGCAGTCATCACCAAAAGAACTTGAGTCATTCTGTTGGTTCGGTCGTTGTAAGCTACCGGATAATACCGTTATTGGACGCTACGCAACCAACAACTTGTTTATCTGGCAGTGAATTTAGTATGCGTCATTTCAGAGCCCTTAAGCTGACATAATAAATTTCACAGCCAGATATGAATTATTTTACAAATAATTCCGTTATTGGCTGCTTTACATCCAATAACTCTATAGTATTTCGAACAACTTAACTCATTAAAATTCGAAATTAAAATCATAACCCTCTAAGTAAAATCGCCTGAATCGCCTGATTTATAAAGCGTATCACGATAGTAAAGCAACGTAAATTTAGAAAAAAAGGCCAAAAAAACGAAGTTTCTGTCAGACTTTTATTAGTAAGAAGTGTTAACTCATCTTACGTATTGCCAGTAATAAAGATTCGGATTTAAGTATTGTCCAGAAATCATCCAGCTACCATTTCACATTTGTCTTTTTTTACTGATACCGAAAGTGTAGAATGGCACAGCAGTCACGGGCATGCCTAAAAATAAAATAGACATAACGATAAGGCATGCTAAATTTTTTAGCCGTGCCAATCAACCTACGAAAGTGGCGAGCTTCTGAAGATCTGACGTGCGATACTAAGCGGTGTAGAATTTGATGCACAAAGATTATTTGGGCCCGTGAGTAATTTAGAGGGCATCCTGATCTACATGGGCGGATACGGGCCAGTGTTGTCACTGGAAGACTGCTGGAAGACCACTGGAAACAAAATTAATAGTTCACTGGAATTTTTACTATTACAAAATTTCACTGGAAGGCCATAAATTCCAAATTAATTTACGAATAAGAACTTACTAAAAACATTACCTTCGTCAGATATGGAGTTACAAATCACCACCGCAAAAGTAGATCTGATATTCATTTATTTGGAAATTTCTTAAAAAGTTACTACATTCATAAATCGGCAAGGATCTGTTAACGCCATCTAGAGAAAATTAACGATCTTGCTGCTTTAGTATGTTTAATTAACATACGTTCAGTATGTGAAAAGTCGATAGATTCATATAATTAATCAAGATAGCGATAGGAAGTAACGGTAATTATCAGTTATCGTTATCTTTGTTTAGAGAAAAATTCAATTCACTTGATGTTGATTTCTACCACAATATATTGTTATTAATTATATCTTTGTAATTGAAGTATATGCACAAATACAAATTATAATAGGATCATCAAAAAGAAATATCTGCTTTTTGTAACCACCGGGATCAAAGCCCCCACATATATTGATGAGCATCGTAATGAAAATTGGTGATACAGTTTCATTTGATGATACTTTTTTTTGGTTAATTAAAATTGATTCTCCGAACTCTAATTAAGCCTTTATAGGGATGGCAATATCAAGAGAATCAATAATATAGGAACCTATCAGTGGTAATTCCGGTCAAATTGTAATATCTGGTCAAGTGATCGACAATTTTGACCGGGATTATAACTGATGGGCTCCTCAACTGTGTAGATCCATAGATATTCTCTATGGTTGTGTATTACTGTAACTCTAACCTTCCGATTAGTAATTTTTCTTTTCTGGTTTCATACTTTAATATTTCCAATACAAAAACTTTTATTATGATTGAGTTGCTAATCCATAGAAGGTTAACAAAGCAACAATTTTAGAATTACAATCGATTATTGAATTAGTTTATTTAAGGTAATCTATGAGTTTACAACGTAAATTGTCTTAAATAATCAACAGTAGGCTTATAAGCTGCGAAATTTTGTGATGGATAAAAAAAGAAGTATATAAAATAAAGATACGTCACATTTCACATTTGAAGATCAAATCCTTGATGTGATTGATTTGGCTAACAGCATTTCTAGATACTTATTGTGGTAACAAGTTCAGTTTAATATATGAGGGTAAATTTTCGTTATTATAAAGTTATAGACTTGCTTTGTTTCTATCGACAACCCCCATAGCTTGGGGAGTATATGCCATGGATCCTTGGTAAGACATACTGTATATTATCTGTGATCAGTGTTTTACATTTGGAGATCAACAGCCTTTTCGTTGTTTGAAGGACGATCCGCGAAAGCCCATATTTTCATTATCCCGATAAAAATAAAAAAGATTTTGAATAAATAAAGCGCGTTATTAAATGCCAAATTCGGAGGTCGTCTAAAGTCAGGTAGTTTTTAAATTGATTACTAACCAATTGGTAAATTAAAAATCACGTGATGCATATAAATTACTATATACCTGGCTTTAGACGATCCCAAAACTCGGTTAATTCGGTTATATGATACCTAGACTATTCAATTGCCTATGTTTTAGGTATTCGTTTAGACTAGTTAAAACAAGTAAAGTATATACAATATATATGGGCTTGGCGCTGAGAAAAGGTGACAAAAAGTTTTTTTCACAAAAATCAATTATCTCGTGAATAATTAATCAGAATCACATGATTTGATATTATTCGATTCTTCTAATCGAATGGTACCGAATCATACAATTCCAATTAATAGTTCACGAGATAATTATTATTTTTTTTGTCGACTTAATCCCTTTTCTCAGCACCAAGTCCATATCTTATTTTAGATGGGTCAATTATAAACTTTACAATTTTATAAAGTGCTAAGAAAATATTCTTGTAGGTTTATGAATTTTAATTTCATAAATGGTAAGATGCACGCACATAATAATTCTGCCGATGATTATGCGAATCACTGTATCTTTTCTATCAGTTGTTTTTTTTTATTTAGCAAAAAATACTATGAACTAGATGCGTTTTTTATACACATCAAGTACATCTATGTACATATGTACGTATATTTACGTCAGAATTACTAAATTGCGGTATTCCAGTTTAGCATCCAAAAGCCGCAACTCGCGACCTGCAATTTAGGGTTGCGGGCATATAGAGCGCCAACTGTATATCATTTATCGCAACAAATTATGTGCTACATTAGGATGCGCGTTATTTCGGGATGCCAATTCGAAATTGGATGTCTGCAAGATCATGTGATAAACAGAAAATGGATTTTCTCTTAACGATTATCATTAACTAGTCTAGAACATTTTGTCACTATCACAAAAAGATAAAATTTTCTAAGTAGTATTATAATATTATAATAATAGTAAATCCAATACAGTCAACCTTCCATAACTGCACGTTTTCGGGTAAAAGTGCATTTATAGAATATTCATTTATGGGGCATAATTAGGGTGTCCAGGATTATGCTGCTAGCATAATTTAGCATAATTCAAGTTTGCTAGCATAATTATGCTAGCAGCAGAATTTTAGCATAATTTATATTTGCTAGCATAAAATTTAGCATACTTTGAGTATATATGTCGTAGATGGGAACAGAATTTAAGCTGATTCGGGATTTTAAAGTTAGAGTTGGGTTTTTAGTATAATTATTCCGTTCTAATCTGGGTGGATTCCGAACCTATTATGATTTCATTCCCACTTACAACATATATAGTATTAAATACAAACAATTACGTTTAAAAAACTGTAAAATTTATTAATTGTCACAGCTGATGCTAAAATTGACTAATGCTGAAATTTAAGTAAATGTCTGAGCTTGCGAAAGGCATTTATAAATGGACGAAGTGAGTAAGTAAATCAAAGATCATGTGACCTTGGCCTGAATTTTATTGATTGCAGTCCAAATCTATGGAGAATTTATTGGTACACAGAAAAACTACAATTATTTTACTATAAGTACTTATTCTACCCTTCTCTTCTAACCTAGGCCGTGATACCTTAATCTCTCTAATTTTATCTATTAATTCTGTCATTATTTTATATATATCTATGTTGTTATTGTTATTCTTATTCCACCTTTGTTTTTTTTTTCGCTAATCTAAGTCTATTATGTTTTTATTATTATATTCCTGTCCCATGGTTACTGAAATATGCAAGGAGTATGAGATTATAATGTGGATGAGGGAGGGTGGGGATCATGATCTTTGATTTACTTGCTTACTTTGTCTATTATAAATGCCTTTTGCAAGCTCAGACATTTACTTAAATGAACTTCAGTTCGTAAATAAATTGCAGATCATGTGACTTATTGTGGAGTAAAGTTCTCATAAGCGGCTGACAAAATGTTTTGTGCAATCTGATTTTTTTGCAGCATAAAGGTCATATAGAATTTTTGATAAATGCTGTGACTAGACCAATTTCCTATTGCGAGTATTGATTGTAGATTGATGCCTGATTTTTGTGCATAAAAGGCAGAGAGTGCCACATCTTTTGCTGTTAACTTAGAGGCGGATTCTGTAAGAATTTTCTTAATCTAATATGAAATTGTGTTCATGGAAGCTGGTGTATGATTTCCTGTTGAGATTAAAAGGAGGGGATTTCTTTTGTTGTTCTGAAGAATGTAATTGTTCCATATGGTCCCGTAGAGCCTTTACTGTGGCCAACGGTAATATTGCTAATATCTCTTCATAATTTCCTATATAGATTACTTTTGTGCGAGGTTTTTTGCCTCCATGGGCTATGGATATATTGTATTCTTTTGGTTCTACTATAATAGCAGTGGCATCCTGTAGTGTGTGCTTAAAGGATATAGTATCAATATGTGCTAAATCTGAAGATCTACTTGCTGTTGTGATCGCTAATAAAAAGAGCAGTTTTTTGTAATAAGCTAAGTAGAGGCATTTTATAATTATCACCTAATGCTCTTATTTTGTCAAATAATGGGTTAAATTAACAATTTCATTACTGTTTGCCATAGGTAAATTTAATTTATATATTGGGGAGTGTCATAGCAAAACAAGGCTTAGAGACATTTAAGTTTTGTATAAATATTTTGTAATAATTTCATATCTACAAATATTAACTTTTAAACTATAAAAATATTTGCTTACTTATAATATAAACAAGCAAATATTTTTATAGTTTAAAGGTTTATATTTGTAGATATGAAATTATTACAAAATATTTATACAAAACTTAAATGTCTCTAAGCCTTGTTTTGCTGTGACACTCCCTATATACTGTTCATGGTTTTTCATATCAAGTGATGTTATCCAATTGGTGACTTGTCAACTCATTTATGGACTTTGCTTATTGCTAATCTGTAACTAGCAATTGTATTATATACTTTTAGTTCTTGAATTGCATGTTTAAAAATTTAGTAATGTTGCTAATAGAGCAAGTAACAGGATCAAGATCCTATGTAGTACACCAATTGATCTACTTCTTAATATTTGTAGATATTGTTTTTGAAGATGTTTTGTTATATGCTGCAATGTGCAAGTTGATAACTTCTGCTGAAAGGCCCTGGTTCAAAAGTCTACATCTAATATGTGAGCTATGCAAATCTTCTATTATGTTATTCTATGTAACTAAAAAATTTTGTATATTATTTGCACTATATTGTAAGAAAGTAGAATTAGGAGATTTATTAAAAATAATAGTAGCAAGAGAAACCATGGTGCAGCTGGCCATAGAGGAAAAGCTAACATTATTGTTATTTTCTCTCTGCTAACCTTTTTTAGAACTTTGGATATTAGAATCTATGGTGAATTGGCCTAGCATTTCTATCCTTTTCATAAAGTTATTAGTGTGTTTATTGCTAATGCTTGTGGGTTCTTCTTTTACAAAATAAATGTTGAGATACATTTGTTTCAATAATTTGCAAATAAGTTGAGATTTATAGGTCCCCAGATCTTTTGAATTATATTAAATATTTTTATATTGATAAACTAGGTGTGTCTGTCTGATGTTGTTCTGAATGCAAGATTTGCTAATATGTTTAAGCAACTAGTTATGTGTTCTGCTATTAATCTTATTTGATAGTTGAGGCAAGTTTTTCAAATTTCTTTTGCTAAGTAATTTATTGTCTCTGAAGTAGTGCCTCACTGTTTGTTTAAGTAAGCTACTGTTGTCAAACTGTCGCTTTTTATTAAGATAGTTTGTTTTGTTAAGTGTTTCTAGATAAATAGAGCTTTTTTGACTACCATTAACTTTAGGTAGTTTATATGTTTTATTTATTGTTTTTCGTTCTATAAACCATAAGCTATTTGACTATTTGTTACTGCACCCCGAACACATTTATATAGATAGTAGTTGTTGGGATCACAAGCAAGATTTTTCTTCCATTCGAGATTAGTTATCCAATTTCTTAGTTGTTTTTTGGCTTCTTGTAAAATGATTAATGAAGCATTCCAACTCTTGAGCCTTATTGTTTTATATTTTTTTCCCGAAGCAGAGCTCTTGAAAAAAGTTTTGCTGGAAAAATTGCATTAGTTGTGGCATTCAATTTTTCTAATAGTGCTACTAGCTTTTGAAACTGTACTTCTTCTTTGCTTAGTATATAACAATATTCTTTTATAATGTCTATCACTTTTCTCTTGGGTATTACAAATATCATATTCTTGAAATTTATGTTGAATTCTAGGAATTAGATTTGTGTAATGAAACTTAGTGTTGATTTTTCTCTGTTTATTATGAACTCTAATTATTCTAGAATCCTATAAACCTTCTTGATATGTTTGTATAACTCTTGCTTTAAGCAAGTGATTATCAACAAGTTGTCTATTTAGGGATTCCATCAACTCACCGACAATCACTTCGTAGAAACCACATTTCACTGGCAATTACTTACCGACAAGTTTATTTCACCAAAGCTCATTTTACAGACAAAGTAATTCTGGTTAATATAATTAGAGTTAGGTTAGAACTAGAGTTAAAGTTAATGTAATTTATAAAAAAAAACTTGTCAGTGAAATGAACTTTGGTGAAATAGTGGTGTCTATGAAGTGATTGTCGGTGAAACAATACGGACCCGTCTATATAAATAATTACTTTTATTTTCTGAGATCAGATTTTTGCTACTACTGGCTTGAGGATCTTTGTAAACACTCTTGAGCTTGTTGTTAGCTCAAAAGGTAATATCTTGAATGTATAATACATACCAAGGAAGTTGAAGGTGCAAAATTTTATAAATTCTTTTGTTAGGAGAATATGGTAGAAGGCATTCTTTATGTTTATTTTTGTGCAATATTCCCTTTCTTTTAATAATAATCTTATTAAATCTACACTTTTTATCTTGAAGTATTGTCTTCATATGTAACTGTTTAAACTTCTGATAAGTCATAAAGCCTCTGAAGGTTTGGATATTAAAAATAGATTTGATGTAAAACATGGTGTGTATGCAGATAAGTTCTCTATCGCTCTGTTCTGTAAAAGTATGGTTATTTTCTTTGTTAATGCTTCCTTTTCTTGAGCTTAGTATGTTCTTACTGAGATTGGTTGTATTCTTAATACAGTAGTGGTGTGTTTATAAATATTGGGCAATAACTTTTCTTTATTGTTTGTAAAACCCAGGATTTCACCAAGATTTTTACTTATCTTGTATAGAAATATCATAGTCTTGTGCCCACCAACTTTATTAACTAGTTTGTTGTGATTGTTGTTAGAAATCATTTTGGTAAAATCTCTGAAAATTCTGAAAATTTTGGTTGTAAGACTACATGTTTGCTGAACTGCAATGATATAAGTTTCCTTAACTACACGTATTGCATTAATAAGTATTGCCTCTAAACTCTTTACTGTTGTTAAGTCTTTGAGAGTGTTGCAATTTCCATTTCACCGAATATTAAAAAAACGAATGTATATTTTACTGACATGTCATTTATTCGAATGGTACATTTTTCTGGCATTCTAATTCTTTGAAATATATTACTGTAAGCTCTTTTACCGAGGGATGTTTTGCCGAATTTTTATAAATTCTGGATCACCTGACAACTGAAAAAAGGTACTGTATAAGCTAATTTGCCGACAACCATTTTATTTCACCGACAAAGTTAACCTGGTTTATGTTGAGTTGGCCTGATTTATACAATTTTGTTTAATCGAGAAGACATCTTGTTGGGAAATTTCTTTTGAGGAATATCTTTTCAGGAAAACATCTTTTCGGAGATACATCCTTTCGGGGAATATATCAAAATTGCTTCAGACAAAAAGTTCTGTCTGGGGAACAGGAGTTCAGAGAAAGGGTTTTGCCGGTAAAAAAGTCTGTCTAATAAAATTTTTCAGAAATTCAGGTTGTCGGGGAATTGGTTGTGTCGGGAAAAAAAATTCGGTAAAAAATTTCCATCAGCAAAATATACTGTCAGAAACATGTCTTGTCGGGAAAAAGTTATGGGATCGGGGGAAATGGTATTTCGGGAAGGTAGGTTTCGGGGGGATCCTATCAACTCACCGTAGACACCACATTTCACCGACAAATAGTTACCGACAAGTTCATTTTGCCGATAGTTTATTCCACCGAAGCTCATTTTACAGACAAAGTAATTCTGGTCAATATCATTAGGGTTAGATTATAATTTAAGCTAAAGTTAGTGTAATTTATAAAAAAAAACTTGTCGGTGAAATGAGCTTCGGTGAAATAGACGGCAAAATGAATTTGTCGGTGAATAATTGTCGGTGAAATAATACGGACCCGGTTTCGGGAAAGTGAGAATTAACGCTATTTTGGTATTGTTAGAAGCTTTGAAAAGACAAGATTCCTCATCAGGTGTATTATCAAGTTGGTCACTTGATCAGATTTTAAAAGCATTTCGTTTCCAATACTTTAGTACCGTCTATTCCACATAAGTGGACGTTGTCGGAAAAAGTGTACTTGTAGAATGTATACTTATGGAGAGTAATTTAGTCTCAACTACATATAATTTCTACATAGAAGTTAAGTATCATGATTATTTTAGCAAGGGAGTGGTGCCAATCGTAATCATTTGAGGGAGGGGGGATTTTACTATTTACAAAAAATCAACACACTTCCCTTAGATAGATCAAAGCAGTACACTTATGGAAAGTAGACTATAAATTAAACATCTTTACTATAGTAATAGGGATGTTAACGGTCTGGTCTAGTTTATTATAGTCTATAGTCTTAAAAGTTAATTAGACCAGACTGATCCAGATCGATCTGGTCTTAAGACTAAGTGCAGACCAATTTTTTCCAGGTTCAGGCCGGTCTTAAGACTAAATGTGTCTATTGATCTAAGACAGACCACATAACATCCTTACATATGTAATAAAGGAAGGATATTTGTCGATTTAGTAACTGGAGATAATATAACTTTTGATTAAAATTCATATCAAAACTTTTCAATCCCTGAAAATATATATATATATATATATATAAATTTTTTTTATTAAATATTAATCATGGCAAAAGAAATCTTTATACAATCTATGAACAAATATTGACAAAAGGTCTTCTGTTATTTAAAATACAAAGGTCGCCTACGCATCTTGTTTAATGCATTTTCAAATAATTCACGACGAATATATGAATAATCTTTTTTGGCAAATTTTTCGATCTGAAAATCAGAGTCCATTATAACAATTGTTGGTGTTGTAGGTGTTTTTACTTTTGGTGAATTTGCTGACATAGGGCTCACAATTATATCATGAATTTTCTGTGTAGTTAGCATATTTTGCACGGGCGGAGACAAAAGACCATTTAGAGTTGAAACCGTAGTTGGTGTGATTGGAAAACTAGGAGTATTTGGTGGAACCATTAAAGATGACGGTGTATTTGGTGGTGCAAGAAGATTGTTCGGTGTGTTCGGTGTATTTGGTGTGTTTGGTGTTTTTGGTGAATTCGATGTATTTGACATGCTTGGCGTGTTTGGAGTGTTGGGTGTTCTTGGCACGGTTAATTTTTGTTCAATAAATCCAGCCTCGTTCACGGACTTTAAATTTTTTTGTAAAAGGCCATTTTGTACATTGCGATCGGAACTAGATGTCGGTGTATACGATGTCTGTTTAAATTTGACACTTTTTGGAGTATGAGAATGTGAACGAGGAATAGGATATAATGGAGTATCTGGTAGGGAACGGAAATATGCTGACCCTAATGGAGTTGGTGGTTCCGCGTAATCCAAAGACGCAGTTAAAGGCGTATTAGGAACGGAAAATGACATATGATAAGGAGTAGTTGGAGTAATCGTTGAATTTATCCAATCCAAAATATTTGCCCGTTGGGTTGGGGATTCATTATCTTTATCATTATCAAGTGATAATTCTTCCCACTCTTCATCTTCATTCATATCTTCTAATTTTTTTATTTGTTTTCCTCTAAAGAAAGAGATCAAAATTTCTTTTGCTGCATCTTCATTAACGGATTCTGCTAGTCTTTTTACAAATTTTCCGGGGATTACACCCTCAACAAACATAACATTAGATAAGATACCAACACGTCTTTCTTCCACTGACAATCCAAAATAGTAATATACCAAGATTTGATCAACTGCACCACGAAATGGTTCATAAAGATCCAATAAAGTGGTAAAATTTAGCAATGAAAAGAAATCTTGATAGGCCCTAATCTTCGATGCCAGCGAAGAAGTTAAAACATCCTTTATGTCAGCAGAGGCATATAGCCAGTCCAAAGATGCATCAACAATCTCTAAACCATGCACCGGAGCTTCGATACAAAGCATTGGTAAACCATCAGTTTCTTCGACTTTATCAGAATTCAAAGAAGTATTTGAGGCTAATTGAGCAAATTGTGTGGATAGTTTATCAAAAAGAGCAGATTTTTGCATAAGATATTTGGACTGTTGAACGGTAATTTTATAATTCTTTTTAAAATGAGGTTTATCCGATGTTAAAATCTGCAGCGTAAAAAGAACTGTGGAAGGCAAGATTAATGATGGTGATAGAATTTGTGTCGTCTTGGACACGACTTCCAAAGGAAAAGCCCTGACATTAAGCGATGTAGTTTTGGTTGGCATTATTATTATTATTATTATTATTATTATTATTTATTATTACTATTATTAATTTATTATTTGTTTGCAAAAAAAAAGTAAAAGACGAAGAAGAAATAATAAAGAGCGCAAAACAAAAGATCAACTTTTGTAAAGAGCGAAAAGAAAATAAGTTACAGGTGGGCAAATTTTGGATGACTAGTGTTTTAATTAATCATAGGGTATTTATTTAATTTTCTTCACTTGTACTAGGGTAAAAATGTTCATATCATATGCAGAATTATATAAATAAGAAGCGCTCAAAATATAAAAAATGAGCCAATAATGATCAATTTCAGTGATCATTCTTCGTGATTAGAACAATTCTTTCCTTGTTATGCAAGATATTTTTGGAAATTTCTAATTAATTAATTTTATTTATTTTCTTTTTAAGGGCAATCAAAAAGAAAGTTATGTCACGATCGGTCTGTGTGTAACATTATGTGTCGTATTAAGATTCACACGAGTTACATTGTAAGTATTGCAAATTAGAAACTGTGCGTACAAAAGTGCATCATTTTTGGCTATTCTTACTATTTCTGGATATTAAGTGCACGAATTAATATTATTTGAACGACTGAGATTAAAGTATGTGCGCATATATAACTTACTTACAGTACATAGTCAAACAGATCCATATCCCTGATTGCTAATTAATATCCCATTTTGTTAATTAACGTTCTGAGATTTTTAGTGTGAATTATAAAAGTTTAGCATTATCATAATAAAACAAATAAACCCGTATTTTTTACTGCAGGTATTATTAATCTATTAATAAATTATTTTCTATTAGCTAATATTTTATTTATAACTTGCTTTTTAAGTACTGTATTTCATAGTAATAGGCAATCATTACTATGAATTAAGGTTTAAAATCAATTTGCAATTGAAATAGAAGAAACAAACGCCACGCAATTTGTTTCAAATGCATATACAAAATTTAAATTTTATAGCTTATCTACAGAAACAGATAACGTTCTTGATCAACATCTGGTATCAAAATTTAAAATCTAGCTTTTATACTATATCGATATGTAACACGTTTCATATCTTAACAAGGAACAATAAAGGTTTTCAGATTATGTTTTTTTTTTAGTATCTTGTATGTTTGACCAAATAATAATAGGAAGTTACTAAAATTGTAATTTAACCAATTTAACCGTTATCGTTATGTTTCTGTCACACTGATCTATTGGATTGTACCCAACTAAATGATCCGAATTAATAAAATCACCGTAGCTTACGAATGGGTTTATCACCGGATCGTGAGACATCCTCATATAAAGTGTGCTATGATGTTATGTTACCAAAACTAAGCAAACAGAAACTTCTGTGTCCGGAACTTAATGATATCGATTATCCAATAAGAATAATTTCGTTGATAGACAAACTGGTTATGTGGCGAAAATTGAGTGTAATTATATTCTTTATCACCTTCATTTTAATTACATATAGACAAATAATATATTCGGTTAAAGTAGTTGGGTGATAAGGACACGCACGTACGTACTAAGTACGCTCGAGAATAGGGATGTTATGTGGTCTGGTCTTAGATTAATAGACCGCAGTTAGCTAGAAAAAATTGGTCTGCACTTAGTCTTAAGACCGGTCTAGATCAGTCCAATTAACTTTTAAGATATAGACTATAAAATATACCAGACCAAAACCGGACCAAAATAGACCAGGTTGAACCAGACCAGACCGTTACACATCCATACTCGAGAATATAGAACAAAAAATCTATGCAGACTAGAGTGTCCAGAATTCTACTGCGATTTCCACCAAATTTGCAGATTCTGCGTCGACGCATAAATAAAAAAAAAAAATCAGAAAAAAATCAAACAATGAGAAAATCTAATTTTAAACACAATAAACTGTATCCACCAATAGGTTAGAGCAGGGCAAGAGCAGAATTCTGCGCAGATTCTGCCATCGTAGATTTCTGGGCACTCTAATACAGACTCACATGATTGGTGATGGGTTCAGTTACTAAAGCTTGAAGTGGTTTTTTTTCTTCGTGAGTTATTTATTAATTAAAATAAACTCTTATCATAATGTCTTAAAAGAGGAAAACAAGATACCTTCTCTAATATTCAACAATTATCATCGGTTACAGATTAGTTATAACCGTCAGTAACTAGGATGACTGGCATACAAATGGCTTTGCTTAAATATCCCAAAATCTGCTTGGCATGTCAATGGCTTTGCCTAAATATCCTAAAATCTGCTTGGCATGCCAATGGCTTTGCCTAAAATCCTAAAATCCGCTTGGCATGTCATGACATGCCACTTTGTATATAAATTAATAATATATACATTTGAATAACTATACTATTAATATTTCCGCCATGTATTTATAAATATGGCAAATATCATACAGAATGTTAAATTACGACCAAATGGTATTATAGATTTTATACGTATATATTTATTATTATAAACTTGGATCCATATATATACTGTAGATACTGTAAAGCTGAATAATAAAAGACCCAGATGATTTGTTTATCTACAGTAGCAAATTATAGCGAGATATACTATGTAGTTTCATTGATATATATTACAGTATATAATATTCATACACTATATTTACCGTTAATACATATTTTCTCCGGTTAATGTAATAAAATAGTAAATAAGATCAATTATATTTCTCTTTATTTATATGTAGTGAAAGTTATATTCAAAAATAAACATATGGATGACGGGAAGAGAAAACCTGTGATTCTAAAAATAAATTATTATAAAATTCATATTAATCTATTTTTTAGAATTACAGGTTTTATCTTCCCTTCACTCTTAAAGAATATGGTTCGTTTCTATGAGTATTGGGATCTCTGATAAGTTCACTATTCATATTTAATATAATTTTGGTCATTAGAATAGTATCTCACACACAATAATAAAGAGTAGCTATATGTGCCGTATATACTACAGTTGCTCTTTCATGATTTATAACTTCTTTCTTGACTAGTGATCCGGGCCGACCTTTCTACCAGTACAATTTTTCTTATCAGAATTAGTCACCATATCGATATCTATATTAAACGTGTAAAAAGATACAGATAATTCATTGCCAAATTCTAATGATACTAAATTATTTGATTTTATTCTTTTTGTCTTTGAAAAATTCTAGCGCGTTAGTTTTGAATGTTGATTAATTGTCTATGCACCCGAGCTAAAGATGAGTGACGAATGACGAAACCATTTCGTCAAGCGTCCCAATGATTATCGTAACTTACCGTAGCTATAGTAAGTAATATACCGTAACTTACTATCTGCTATATTGTTACGCAGGATACGGCAAGTTACGAAAATCATTGTGACGATTTTACTGCATCACTACTCGTGGTGAATGATGAAACTCATGACGAATGCTAGAATGACGAACGGATCATAAATTTTATATGTAATGTATGACATTAATACGTAAAAAAAAAATTCAAAAATATGATTTTTCTCTAGGAATCATGTGAAATTAATTTTTTGCACGTTACATGTCAACTCAGTTTCTATTTTTGTTGATTTGCGATAGCTGTTGAATGAATTAATTTTTGTATGAACTTGTTAACTTTTATGGACTATGGTTTCATATGAATGGGTGCACTTTATGATGGTAAAATAACAGTAATTTTGAAAAATTTAAGATCATTAAAAAGAGGGTCATGCATGTTGACAAAAAGTCAACAGATCGAAAAGGTGGTCAGGGTTACACGACACGTGCAACAACCCCGCCCCGATAACACAAGTCGGGGACCGAGATTTCATGCGAACACAACTACAGCTGCGTTACAGAAAGAGACATCAAAGAGACGTCAGACTACATCGATTTTTCATGCGTAACACAGCTGCGTTACAGAAAGAGACATCAGATTTTCGTGCAAACACAGCTACGTAACAGAAAGCCACCGTCCTCGATCAATATAAAAGAAGCGACGAAGAAATAAATTCCCAGCATTCTTCTCTTTCCCCTTGCAACACAATCAAGCATTATAACCGTCATTTTCTCGACCCAACCCTTCCCACCACACACATGGGAACACTCTCCTGATTCTGCCATTTTCCTATTTAACAGCCGGCCTGCTTCGAGCAGTTCGAGCAGGCGGGAAACCACCGGCTGATGCTGCTTCTCACTCATTCTACTGTTACGATGATACCTGGGCGCAATCTCACTTGCTAATTTTCCCGGGAGCATATCATCGTTTCAGTTCAAATTACTCAGCTCAAATTACTCAGTTCAAATTACTCACAAAGTATTCTGCGGACTTAAAGTTCTTTAATTGAATTTATTTCCGGCACCTCGGCATTCTTCCAATCACGTGAACAATCATACATGATTAAAATTATTGACTAATTCACATCACCAAACTCAGCCATCGTTGGTAAATCAGTACGTAACTATATAATTGTGTAACAATTCAATATCGCTAAATCCTTAAAGTACTGGTTGACAGTAAAACATCAGGTATTAACCATTTTGTCCCTCATCGAGGAGGGGTGTCACAAGATGAAAACAATATGAAGACAAACGAAAAACAAAAGAAGAAAAATGGAAAACAACTCTGGGTTATCTGTCCCATCCGCTCAAGTGCTATATGTACTATACTACTAAAAATGCAGAACTCGAAAGCATCGAAAGTAACTGCTCTGAAACTAATGGTTCCTAAGCTATTGCTTGCTGCAAGGGACGGGCGAAAAAAACCAGACAATTTCTTCTGGAAAAAACCCCTAAGTCCCTCTACGACTACCCTAATACTCACAATGTGTATTATAAAAACCTATATGCAACATTCAAT